AATAAAAACACATCACCTTAATTAAACAATGAACCCTTTATTTTTCCATATAACAAATCGCTTTCCTCTCAGAATAATGGCAGCATGACTGACAAGGCCTAGTTTCAGTCTACAGTATGAGAACAAGGTGGTTCTAGGTGGATATATGGTTATAATCAATATAACGTGTTGATGTGTAAACAATTCTTATTGAGCTAAATATATGGTTATAATCAATAAAACAAACCTCTATTGAGCCGAATATACATTGATAATCTAATAAAGCAGTTCTTATACTGTTAAGCTAAATGTAAACAATTTTTTTATAATAATAAAAATAGCTTCTTAAAACATTTGTAAGCTGATTTTGTGTGAACGCATGCAACAACAGTTAGGGTGAATTTGGAATTTACAGGGTAATTTCAAACAGCATCATCAAGATTGCATCATGGACCAGTCGCTGAGCAACAGGAGGTTGGAATTAGCACAGAGGATGAGATGTCGCATGTGCTGTGGAGCTGAATGTACAACGTGCATGTAGTCTACAGGGCAATAAGCAAGTTTTGGAAATTATAGGAAAATGACAGGCATATCGCAATATCACGGTTCACATGTGCGGATTGAACCATAGGGGGCGTACTGAATGGTTCAACAATATACCGTGTACCATTGCATTTCTAGTGCCTATTACAGATTTTATATTATATTCTGTCACCTATTAAAGTCATGTACTATATCGACAGTTTTTATGTCACTTTTATCATTGAGCTAAAGGTTTCCACAGGAAAGTGGATGTGATGAGTATCTCTGAGGGCTTCAGTATGTTTTGACCTCCTGTTGGATCACCTCCAATAGGATCTGAAGATGCTTGGTGCATGATTCTGGAAAAACATGGATAGGTTGTGGTCAACAGCTAAAAACATGATCAAACCACACAGTAATATTATGAAAATAGATGCAGAATTATAGGTGCTATACCACCGAAGTTCAGGAACTTAGTCCATAGTTCTGAGTTCCTGGGCCATCTTAACTGAGAACTTTAATAGTTCCTGGCCTTTTTCATGTGTCGCTTTCCCACTGCACAACAGGAACTGTGACCGTTATGCTAAATAATCATGGAAGACCCAGAAAGTTGTTTTGTTACTTATTGGAGGGATCGATAACACGGTCCAAAAATATGAGACAAATCATGTCCTGTATTAGTTCAAAACAGGCCAGAGCATTTCATTTCTTTATATATTTCTTTAAACATATTTATAATTTATAATTAAATCTGGCCAGCAGATTAGTCTTTATTTTTCCTCAGAATAAAAATGATGTAACATTATTCCACTAATAAGCGCTGGCATTGGCGATATTAGACTGAAGAATATCGGTTACCAACCAAATTTTCAGATGAAATATAGAAAGAAGGTATTCATTAGTGAATCTAATGTAATTGGGATATAAAAATAATTTAATCTGTTGAATTTTAGCTCTACTGCTACTCTTTTTCCTGTACTTTTGCAATACTTTCAAGTCAGCACCATTACTTGTGGTCAACAATCAGCAAAGTTTATCTTTATGAGCCCCACCCCATGGTTCCTGGTAGAGTGAAAAGTACCTACTCTGTAATAGGGACTAAAAAAAAGGTTCAGGAACTACCTCGAAGGAACTACAACCAGTTCCTATGGTGGGAACCTGACAGAAGTTCCTGGTTACTGAAAATGGTTCTTGTTCATGCAGTGAGAAAGTGCCTCATGATAGCAGCTCTCATGACTGTTTGGCCTTTGCGTCACTCACGGAAAGCATTTCTCCAGCGGACAGGTAGGCGCTGCTGGTGCACAGTGAGGTAGTACACTGGCACGCCTGACAGTGTGACTGCACAGCTGCTCCCAGTGTTCCAGGGGTCTGAGTACAGGGACAGGCCCACAATGAAAAAACATACTGCTGTGAAGCTGATAGTAATGGCTACCGGCACCTGGGAAGGTAGAAAAAGAGAAAAACAGATAATTAAACAATCATCAGGTTGCATTAAAAATGTGTTTCAGGTTTCCTGGTTGCTGTTATTTCTAATTACATTTTA